TCGCTATTGCCTTCGTCCTCCTTCTGCCTCCCAGCTTGTTTCCCGTCCGCCTCCCTCCTGGCGGTTTCGGGCAGGAGGCTGTCCAGCCAGCTCAGGTCATGCAGGGAGAACACACGCTCTAGCGCCTTCCGGATCCCCACCAGGGCCAGCAGCTGGGGCCAGGGCAAAGCGCAGGTCAGCATTGCACAGTGCTTGGGGCTGAAGGCCAGGGAACAGGCAGCATGGTCCCTGTCACACCCCTTCTGTCCCCCTAGTGAATGCCAGCAAGGTGGCATGTCACCTCTCCTGGCTTGGTCCCAGGAGATGATACTTGTACAACTCCTGCAAAGCAGTGACAGCTCCAAACCGGGAGGTTAAGACTGGTGCCAAGCCATGAACTGCAGAGACCTGGCGGCCCCTGGGGGTTGAGCACCCAAGCAGCCCCTGCCGTTGCATGTGCTCCCACGCATGTCCCATGCCCAGGCAGAGCACTGGGGCTCAGGGCACATGTGGGCAGCACCCGGCCTAGCTTCAAAGCAGTGCTGCCCTGGGACCTCATACCTAAAGGGATCTTATGCCCTAAAAGGGATCTCATACCATCACTGGGAAAATAATAGCAGCCACAGTGGATTTGACGACCCAGAGCAGAGCCAGGCACAGCAGCTGGATGATGGTGAAGAGGTGCACCCGGCGCAGGGGCACATGCCGGAGGTAAGCAAGGTCTGGCTGGTGCTTGGCTGGCATCAGGAGCAGCCGCACACGGTCTGTGAGCTGTAGTGAGAGGACAGTGTGTGAGCCACACCAGTTTACAGGCAGCTCTCACCCATCTCCCTCTTGGGCCCACAACTGGATGGGTTTGGCATTGTTGCCACAGCTCAGCCCTCCTGTCTGCTGTTTTGGCCAACACCATGATGCCTCGTTGGGTGAATGCAAGACTTGGGGTCCATCGCCCTAGGCAGGCATCGAGAAAGGACTGAAGCTGGTCTTAAAGGGTTAACCTCTTGATTCCCCTCTCTGAACGCAGGAAACTACTGCTGCCTTTGCCAGAGCTCAATCCCGGATTCCCCAGGCAGACTGAAGGAGGGAGGGAGTTTCCCAGCCTGTCATCCAGAGCTGGGTAATTGCAAGGAAAATGTGCCATTTAGAGGAAAATAAAAAAAGGTAGATATTTCTGGAGTGCAGATTTTTTTTCCTCTCTGTGGGTTTCTCAGCAGAGGAGCAGAGCTGGTACATCAATGGCAATGTGAGCACCAAAGGACCAGCAAGTCCCATCTCTGCCTGCAGCTGCTGGATGGGGACATCCCTGTGGCTTTGAGAGGAAGTCTGGGTTATCCACTGGCCTTTCCACTTCTCCCAAACCACTGTTCTATCAGTGTGGCAGTACTCCTCACCATCCCAGGCACTCCCCTTCCCCTTTCCTCTGCACCAAGAAGGTCCCTCTGTCCCTGAACCCCGTGCCAGGCTGCACATCACACGGACTGTGCTGCACAGTGAGAGCTGGTGTGAAGCCAACCCATGACCCCAACAGACTCCCCCAGCACCCCAGCATAGCCCCACTCACCTGAATGCTGTTCAGTGCTGCCACCCCCATGTGCAGGAAGACCCCGTACAGCACTGGCATCGGGATATGCTGCAAGACAGTGGCGAGGGTCATCAGGGTGCAATTCCCTGTGGGGCTGCCACCACTGAGCATCCTCACCTGGATAAAACTGAGCCGCAACTTTTGCTTCCTTCACTTCCAACAGCCCAGTTTAATTTCATGGCTTTTTGCTTATCTTATGGCTTCAAGGGCTTTAATGTCTGGACACGCTCCCAGCTACACTGCTTGTGTGGGCCCATGCAGTCTTCAAAGAGGGGAAACATGCACCAAGCCTGGTCTCTCAGAGTGCAGTTGAGTGGGAGAATCCCCTCCCTCAACCTGCTGCTCACGTTCTGTGGGTGCAGCCCAGCACACGGGGGGGTTCTGGGCTCAAGTGCACACTGAAGCTGGATCGTGTCCTGTCAGTCACACACCAGTCCCCCCAGATCCTTCTCCTCAGGGCTGTGCTCAATATATTCATCCCCAGCCTGTATCAATACTGGGGCTGTACCCACCCCAGTGCAGGACCTTGCACCTGGCCTTGTTGAACCTCTGAGATTCACATGAGCCCATGTCCCCCATGGTCTCTCTGGATCCCATCCCTTCCCTCAGGCATATCAACTGTACCACTCAGCTTGGTGTCATCTGCAAATGTGCTCAGGGTGCCCTTGATCCCACTATGTCGTTGATGAAGATACTAAATAGTATCGATCCCAGTAGGGATCCTTGAGGGACACCACTTGTTACTTGTTGCCACTTGGACATTGATCCACTGATGGTAATTCTTTGGATGCAGCCATCCAGCCTGGTCCCTCTAACAGCCCATCCATCAAACCCTCAGAGCTGAGGACAGAGTTAAAGGGACCTCCTGCCTGTCCCATGTAATCCAGATGTGGCCAGGGTGCAGTGGGGTGGGGCTCTGCCTAATGTGGCAGAGGTGGCAAGTGAGAGCCAACACCAGCCAGGCTCACCCCACCATAGGGCAGTGAGGAGGGTGGTGTGTTTGGGGACGGGAAGGGACCTGACGCCCATGCGGAGATTAGCATGGGCAGCAGTGTGCTGCTGTGCCCAGTCCTGTGGTACTCCTGCCAAACCCTTTGCCCAGCCCTTTCCCACACAGCAGTCAGCTCCCCATGCCTGCCAACCAGGCTTCCATGATGGATCTGTGGGATGAGGCACAGCAGGGTAAGGAATCTCCCAGCCTTACACGATATGGCAGCCGCCCTGCCTTGGAAAAGAGGCCAAACCCAGCACCAGGCTTCCTACCTTAAGTACAGGTGCCATGAAGACAGAGAGTCCCGTCAGGATGAAAACAGCAATGCCTGTCAGCCTCTGCTCCCTGCAGGCACAGAGCTGGTGTCAGGGTGCCTGGAGTCCCCCAGGAGCCAACAGCCCACACCTGCCCTCCCCAGGGTCTCCGCTCTGTTCAGCTTTGCTGGAACTATGGCATCCCCCGGGAAACACAAGCAGCCACCAAGCCAGCTCTGCTGGGCGGTGTGGGCATGTCCTTGTCCCGTGACTGCAGCCAGAGGCAGGGGTCCCTGGGCTCACTGTGTACCTGATGCCCAGGAACTCGGGGTGCTCGCCGGGGGCTGAGGTTGCACTCTCCTTCCTCAGGCTCTCCATGTGCGCCAGGGAGATGACAGTGGCCGAGACATACCAGGGGAGGCCGGTGGCAGAGGTGACGACCATCAGGAGGGAGACACAGAGGAGGTCCAGGTGAAAACCTGCTCCTTTCTGCAGCAGGAGAGGCAGCGGGGCTGGGGGTGAGGCATCTTCCAGCAGCACCAGAGGGGCATAGTGGGGTCTGCCCACCTTGCCAGTGCGTCAGAGTGCTGCTCTCCCTTTGGCTGTGCCCTGGCCCTCGGGGTCCAGCCAGGACTTGGGTCCTCCCTGTTGGCTGGGTCCTGCCTGTCCCCTGTCCCCACTCACCTGCAGCTTGTACTCCCTGCGGTTAAGGATGACAGCTGTGATCTGCTGGTCCATGAAGATGAGGATGGTGACAAGGACAGCGGGCACTGCAGACACCAGGCAGACCCACCATGGGTTGGCTCCAAAGGGGGAGATGATCCAGCCCCGTTCTGGGTTTGTGGGCTGCAGAAAGCAGAAGGGTCATGGCAGCCCATCTGGGTGACAGGACCAGCCCCAAGGATGCTCCGCATGGGGAGAGGAAGAGCATCCTCCCTCATCCTGGGGATGATCCTGAGCAGCGTGACCCACCAGCCCCCCCAGAGACACACGGGCAGGGGTTGCTCCTGAGTATCCCAAGCCAAGAGCTGGGCATGTGCCCGGGGTACAGGTGAAGGACATGGCACTGGGTGCTGATGATGGCAAGCCCAGGGAGGTGAGGGTGAGCACAGGCTGCTCTGAGGTGCTGCCCGCCCAGGGCGGGGAGCCCAAGCCTGGGCTTGAGCCTGTGGCTCCTACTACAGAGTGAGTTGTACCATGACGTGGTTAGTGCAGGATCAAGCCAGGTTATTTACAGAGCATGGGACCTGCTGCAGTTCAACCCCTTCTCTTTTGCTGGGGCACAGCCTGCATTCCTATAGGACTGGACCCGTGAACAGCAGCAGCACAGCAGGATGGCCACTGTGGGGTGCACAGACACACACCACCTCCCCAATGCACCCCACCAGCACCTTCAGCTCGCTGGGGACAAGGAGCTTGGGGGTCTCCAGGCCCAAGGTGGCATCGACGGCACAGAAGGCCAGGATGGCCAGGATGATGGCGAAGTCGCTTACCAGCTTCCGCACCTGCAGATGGAGAGAGCTTGGCCTGGGCTGCCCGGGGTGAGGGGCTGCCCCAGGAGCACCCCTGGGTTGCAGCACCCAGAGCCATCCCCACACCACTGGGATGGGTGGCTGAAGGGTGCTCACCCCTGCAGGGAAGTAGCGGCTACTCCTGAAGCGCTTGAGTGCAGAGCAGGAGAGGAATGTGCCCCCGAAGAGCAGGAAGGAGATGAGGGTGACGTCGGGCACATACGGGCAGCTTGTCCCCAGAAGCTGCCCTCCTCGCCCCAGGCACTGGCTTCTGCTCAGCCCAACTGGGGCTGCGGGAGGCTGTGGGGACAGGGTGGATTCCATGGGCACATCGGCCCCCCCAGCCCCTCACCCACCTGCCTGGGAGCAGGGGCTGTACCTGCTGGGGGGCCAGGGCTGATGGGAGCGGTGTGCTGTTCCCCACGGAGCTGTGACCTGCAAGGGATGGGGAGGTCAGCACCATGGGCACACTCCATCAGGGACGACTGGGTCTGTGCTGCCATCGGGGTGGCTCCCCAGGCTCTCCCTAAGGGCTTGGGTGCTGGATGGGGGCCCATGGGACCCCTGAGGCCCCACCACTGTCTGATGCCCAGGAAGCACCAAGAGGGAAAGCCCCTGCAAAGAGCTTCCTGAAGCACCAGCTGCTCAGAGGCATCATCAGCCCCAGGCTGTGCCCAGCACCACTGCTTTTGGTACACAGTGTGGGTCCCACTTGCAGGATCACTGTGGACACATCTTCAGGTCCTAGCAAACACCCTCTGATTTACAGACCAGGCTAGAAGCAGCAGTGCAAACCCACCCAGGTGTTCCCCTCCAGCCCCTGGCATCTCTTCTCCCAGAGCCACAGGATCTGAACCAAGGCTCTCCATGCTCCGGCACTGCTCTGCCCCGTGTGCCTGGGCAGTGCCAGGAGGCAGGGATGGATGGACAGACTGCATGGAGGGGAGTGGAGGATGGGATTGAGCCACCTCCTCCTCCAGCACCTTCTCCTATCTAGCAGGGTGTCCGGGTCCCAGTGAGGTCCTATGCAGCAGCCCCCTACTACCCACCAGCCCTGTGGCTGTTTGGGCTCACCGGCGCTGGACAAGTTGCAGACGCAGCTGTAGGAGGTGACGTTGTCCAGCCGGTACTGCCAGTTGATGGGGAAGGTGTCTGCCAGGCTCAGCATCTTCTTCAGGGAGTCGTAGATGAATATCAAGCTGATGAGGGCGCAGAAGCCTTCCTCGGTGAAGCGGGTGAAGTACCGCACCAGGTGACTGGCCTCGGTGGCCACCAGCACCATTCCAAAAAAGGCCACCCAGAGCCCAATCCAGAGGCGAAACTCCAGGTAGTCCAGGCTGTGGTCCCTGGTGGGAAGGGTGACCCCAAAGCCTCAACAGTGACACCTGCCTGGCACGATGGTGGCCTGTGCCCCAGCCAGAGGACAGTAGCCCAAGGAACCATCCCTGGCAGGGCACTTACTGGCTGAAGGAGAAGAGGAGGCGCTCAAAGACCAGCATGGGGCCAGTGCTGCTCAGGATGGTGAGGGGCTGGCCAGAAAAGAGGCAGAAGATGAAACCGGCAAAGGCTGTACCCAGGAAGCTCTCCAGCACCCCCTGAAACACAGGGGATGGGTGCCAGGTGCCAGGCATGTGGCAGGGACAGGAGTCCTGGGCCTGTCCCCAGCATCATGGCTGCAAGCACCTCCCTTGGGTGCCTGGGTCAGTGCTCAGGGGCTGCAGAGGCCAGGGAAGGGCACAGAATCCCGGTGATGCTCAGGATGCCCTGGGGGCACCACTTGCTCACCAGGCAGTGATGGGCACCCAGCAGATCCATGGGGGTGGTGCAGGGCACCCCGTGGCTGCACTGACCTGCATGTTGGCGGTGGCGTCCCCCAGCATACCCCCGAAGGTGATGGCGTTGGTGACCGTGGCCAGGTAGATGTAGAGCACTGCTGAGAGGCACTGAGGGTGCAGGGCATCAGAGAAGTCGCTGCTGTACCACGGTGCCTTCCTCCGGATGTCCCGCAGCAGCCCCCCGAAAAGCCTAGGGCAGTGCAGGAGGATCTCAGAGCAGCTCCCACCCCACTGGCCATCACCTCCCGGCATTGCTGCAGGGCAGGGGATGGTCCTTTCCCTTGTTACCAGCCCAGAGGGGTTTGGACGTGGTGACCCCATGTGCTGGGGAGAGGCACTGTCCTGCCCCAAATTCAGCACCCTGCATCCTGCTGCACATCCCTCCACCTGCATCCTTCCAGACACCCACCTGCCTGTCCTCTCCAGCTCCTCCCCAGCGTGCGGGTGGCCTGGGCTGGCTTTGTCCCCTCCTGCTCCTGCCATGTCCCCATTGCTGTGGGACTGCCAGTCTGGTGGGTGCAATGCAGTCCTGTGGCAGAAACAACCCCCCGAGAAAAGAGGCTTCAGGCTGGAGCCCTCAGGAGCTAGCTGCACCTAGGGGATGCTATGAGGGGACAGGGAGGATGGAGAGGGGACAGTGGTGCAAGCAGGGCTGGGAGCATCTCCCAGCCAAGCCCCTCTGACCAAGACAATGACCACAGCTCTGGTCCCGGCTGCTGTTAGTCCTTGGCTTGGTCAGACTGTTTTGGCTGGGAGGACCTCACTGGCAAAGGCTGGCTCCCACATGGCTTCATCCCCATGGAGATGGAGATTTCAGTGTCACAGGCAGAAATCTCCACCTGGGACCCTACAGAGGGGCTGGCTGAGGTTGCGGGTCCCTCCAAGCCTACCTCCTGTGCAGGGATGGCAGACAGCTCGGCGGAGGGATTCGGGCATTGGGGTCCCATTTCCCTGGAGGAGGCACTGTCAGATCATCCATGAATGCCTCCATCCCTGCGATGAGGTCCTCTCGGTGCTCAGCCTGCCGGGCAACCCTTTGGAAGAGCTGTGAGGAGATGTGGTGGTTTAGCTGCCACATCCCTGTGTTTGAGCACTTGGATCCTTCCTCCTAGCCTGCAGCCGCCACTGAGAAAGTTACCCATCTACTTCTGTGCATCAGGTGCACCCTACAGACCCACCTCAAAACTTCGCTTTCTTATCCTGGGCAAGGGAGGCCACAGCTCACCCCTTCCTCTCACACCTCCACTGCAGCCTGCACAGGAGAGGATCCCCAGTGTCCTCATCCCAGGCCCATCCCACCCATGGGTGCTGCACCAGCCTCACCTCATCTGTCAGCAGCGTAGCCATGGCCCTGCCAACCTCACGGTAGCCTTTCACTTTGGCTTGGGGACCCAGCAGAATGAAGAGGAACCTGTAGGCAAGACAGAGCATCTCCTGAGCAGCCCTCTCCTTGTTGGGGGATGCTTCCCCCAAAGGAGACCATGGTGCTGTGGGGACGCGGGGTACGGTGGCTGGGCAGGCTTCTGGGGCCTGAGCTCTAGGATAGGGCTGTTTGTGGGGTCCTGCTTATGGAAATGCTGCTCACAGGCAGGATAGAGTAGAGTTAGCACTGGAAGGAGAGCTTGCAGGCTCCATGAGCAGCAGATTTGATAGAACTACCAGGGGCATGGGAGGAGACTGGAAAGAGGGCTCAGAGTCCTTGAAGAAATTTGGCTAAAATCCCACATCTCAGAGGGTGCTACAAAATAATGTGGTCTGCAGAGGGACAGCCCACCCAAATACTTAACCAATCCCACTACTCCTTTTCAAAACTGGCAAACCAGTTATAATCCTGGTACCCTGAGGCTGCAGTGGTTCCAGTGACTGTACCCCAAGCAAACCTCCAGTGAGCGGCAGGAAAAATCCTCAGACAGCATGAACAAGGCTAAAGGCGGTTTGACAGAACCAGATGCAGCCCTGACATGGGGCATTGGTGCTGGAGGTCTCCTGGAGCCTGCTCTGAGGGGTCGGGAGGTGATGGTACCCACCTGGGATTGCTCTCACCCAGGCATCTTCAGCAAGGCAGTGGGAAAACCTTATGATCCTAGAGATGGACCTGGGTGGGAGACAGCCCTGGGATGGTGGCTGTACCAGCGGGGCAGCTCAGGGCGGCTGGTAAAGTGGATAGCACCAGGGCAAAGGGATGGGTAGGGACAAGCTCTACTTCCCTTCCTGTCTGGGGGAGGAAAATACAGGGCAAGGGGTTGTCGTGAGCCCCCTAAGACCCACAGGGGCTCCCTGGAGACCTGCCACCCATCTCCCTCCAAGGAGAGAGCAAGACATGGATGGATGTCCTGCTCCATCCAGCTCCCGGAGGACCGGTGCTCTGGGCAGAGTGACCAGGAGGTGGCAATGTCCCTCCTGATCCCTGCCTGCCTCGTCCACACGCTCCCTAAGGAAGTGTTCAGCTCCAGGGGCACACTGACCATTTCCCCTTATGGCTTCAGATGATGCATTCCTCAACCATGGAGGAACACCTCTCGCTCTGCTCCTTTCACCCTACACCAACGGTGCCACAGGAACCGCAGCAGCGCTCGGCAGCATGTTGCGGGCAACGGGAGGGCAGGAGATTCCTGCAAACGTGTGCCCCCTCCCAGCCACAAGCTCCCATGCTCCAGGGTAGTATGTGGGGAATACTCACACCCTTCTAAGGATAGTGAATGCAGTGCGCAGGTGAAGTTAACCCAGGGGATGTCTCCCCCAGGCTCCCAACAGATGCTCCGCTTTCAGCCCATCCTGGGATGCTCCTAAGGAGCTGGGAAAAGCAGGAGCAGAAGTAGTAAGCCAGGGTTCTGGGGCTGTGTGTGGCACTGGGTGCTGTACCCTTTGCTTTTGCCAAGCAAAGCCTTGTCCTGTGTGGTGGGAGTGGGGACAGGGATGAAGAGGGGTGCAAAGCCATCAGCCATGCTCTATTTACCTGCTGGGGAGAGAGACTTCAGCCAACGAGCCAAGGGCCACCGCTCGCCTGAGACGGATGAAGGCGGCGAAGGGCTTCTCCAGGAATTCAACCTCCCCAACAGCAATGTGGGCAGCCTCAGAGCCCAGCGGGACCTTCTTCTTAAACTGGTTTCTCAGCTGCAAGGGAAGGGATGCATTGCTGGGTGCTCGGGGCGCAGCAGCTGCCCTCAGCCCAGCTCCATCCTGCCTTACCTGCTCCTTCAGAGGTGTTTCAGAGAGCTGTGCTCCAGGCTCAGCCCAGCTTTTGGCCTTTTCTGCAAAGGAAGGCAACAAGAATCAGAATATATGTGCACATGAACAGCCAGCAACCATGTGTGCACCGTCTTGCTGGTGGCAGTGGAGGATGCCTGGTGGGACAACGCTGTGGCCACCCATGCGCCTACCTCTGCAGGGAGCAAGGCCAAGCTGGGCGAGCAGCCGCAGTGGGGACTGGGTGTGCTGGTGCTGGGGCTGGAGCAGGAGCAGGGCTGCCAGGCGCTCCCTCAGCTCTGGCTGTAGCTCCACTCCCTCGGGCTGCCCAGAAAGAGCCTTGTCTGCAACAGGGATGGGGAGAGCTCTGAGTCCCCTGGGATTGCTGCCCGCTGCGGGGCTGCCCATGGAAAAGGCCACTTTGCTAGAGCAGCAAACAGCCACATGAGGTATCTGCCTGTTGTGCATCAGTGCCCCTGGTAGCCTGGTCCCTCTACAGAGACCAGCCCATCCCAGGAGGTGACTTTTGCATTCCCCATGTACCAATTATTTCCTTGAAACTGAGGGCATTCAGATCCAGGAGCAGAGTCCCCTTCTGCAGGCACGTCCTGAGCTGGAAGAGGCTGTGCAGGGGGAGGGCTGGGACATGGGGTGCACTCCAGCGCTCCCCACCATCCTCCACCTTCTCCTCGAACTTTATCCACCTGCCAGGGGAGATGTGCTGGTCAGAATAGAGTGCTGTGCCCTGTGTCAGGCAGTGGGAGCTGCAGCTTGGGTCTACCATGAGATTGGCATGGGACTGGTACAGACAGGGAAGGGTTTGGGGGTTCAGAGGGCTTGCAGTGTGCTCACGGAGCAGGCAGTCACATATCCTTTCCCGCTGTCCTACACCTTGCCCTGATCCCCTGAACAGGGGATTTCACCAGTCACAGGATCCCAGACTGGTTTGTATTGGGAGGCACCTTAAAGCTCATCCAGTTCCAACCCCCTGTCACAGGCAGGGACACCTTCCACTAGAG